AAATGCTAAAAACTCACAACTTTATATAAGTGTAATTCATGCACTTAAAAATTTGCAAAAAAGCGCACCTACCGTATATACTCGAGTATAAGCCGAGATTTTCAGCCCATTTTTTTGGGTGAAAAGTGCCCCCCTCGGCTTATACTCGAGTCAGCAGTCTCTCAGGTGTAAATGAGAACTGAAAGATGGGTCTGCTTTAATGCATTTATTTTAAGGGAAAGTATAGGTTTTTTATTTGTTTGAATCTACATGCAGATTACATTTAATTGTAAATATTCGTATCAATGTGTGATAATGTTTTAAACACATATCTAATGTATAGTTTTTAACTACATGTGTACACGGAGGCAGCCATATTTGGTAACTACACAAACTTGCTTCGCAGTGATACAAAATGTCTCTGCTTTATGGCTCCCTAGTGCTAAGCTGCACGGGCGATTAATTTCTTGCTGTTAACAAATGTAACCACTGGCTGCCAGTCACCTGAAAAGGCGTGAGCTGTACAGGAGATTTTTAATAGCCTGCTACTATATTTTCTTGGTGTAGCAAATATTTGCAAACATTGGAACAACTGACTCCCAATGGAGTTAGCTACACAAGTAGTGTTTTATTGCTATCAGTCTCACATGATCGCACATTGCAGCTATCAATCACATGTGGATGAAGCAAGGTGCTGCTTTATGATACTTGCTAACCGATACTTGCTGTATATAGCTTGCTTTTATAATGAGCCATTTATTCCATTTGTTTAGCAATCGTTTGCTTCATTTAGCAGATATTTTCTAGTGATTTTATTACCAGGACTGGGCTACTAAAAATCTTCTCTGTAGCTATATCCTATTCAGGAGACTGCCAGCAAGTGGTTAAGTTCTTTAACCAAATGCAAGAGATTCAAATCTCTTGTGTAGCTTCTCCCCTACAATGCAGGTCTGTAAAGCTGGTCGTACACTGATCAAATTTTCCTGGTTTCTGCTGAATTGACCGAAATTCGACATGTGGGTGGTTCTGCCAGTACCAACCAGCTCAACAAAAGTAATTTTTTGTTAAAGGAATCGGGGGAAATTGTCAGCTGAACAGTGACTCCAGCCAAGTAGTGCTGGTGCACTGCGGTAGGGCAGTTCATTCATTTTACAACTGCAATGTGGTATCAGATTCAGTATCGTGTGCACTCCAACATCGCAGAGGTGTGAACAGAGGCTAACAATACACTACACTCCAGAATGTATGCTCTCTTACAATTCTTTACACTTTTTCTTTAAAAGAGAACTATGGGATAAGTGGTTTTTCCCCATAGCTCTCTTAAGAGTCACGGGAGGACATCTACTAGCGTCCTCCCGTGACCCGAAGCTCAGTATATCACAAGCTACAGCTCGCTGTATACTGTGTGCGCCGCAGCCGGGGCGGATCCCGACATTACTGCCGAGATCCACCCAGCTGCGTGAGTGACAGCTGGCTCTGCCTATTCAAAGGCAGAGCCAGCTGTACCCACCCCCTCCCCCGTCCGTTCCTCCAGTCAGCGCTGGTATGTGTTCACTCACTCCCCGATCTATAGAGCCGACTTGTGACAGTTTCATTGTCGCACATAGGCTCGAACTATGAGGATGTGATTTTTCACTCCCCTCATAGTTCTCCTTTTAAACATACTGAATATGCGTGGTAAAGGTTTTGTCACTACCAACTTCCTCAGCTTTCACTGGCTACAAGATAAGGTTTTAAATTTGTCAAAGCACATAAAGGGGGGATGGTGGTAAGGGCTTCCGCACTCCTTGTTTCAGGGCCCACTTGAGCACATTAGTCACATTACACAGTGTAAATAAATCTTCTCCCCTTTTTTTTTTTTTTTTTGCACATCCTTTGTTAAATTAAATATGTAGAGGGGAAATTCAGAATATTCATTGATAACATCCAGAGTATACACATTACTTTTTTTTTCTTTGTGTTGAAAGACACTTTCGGACATGAAGATGGAAGCCAGAAGTCTCTTTTCTCCTTGATCATATAAGACACAAGGTTAGATTTGGGGAGAGATGGTTCTGATAGCCAGGCTCTGGTATCCATTGCATTGACAGCTTTCCAACTGGTGCCTAAGGCAATGTTAATGTTTTGTCTTTAGAGCATATCAAATGGTTAAATTCAATTTCGAGCTTCCAGTGCGGTATAAGTAAGGTCAAATAAAGTCAAAATGAAAGTGATCTGCTTCCCCTAGAGTCCATCAATCTGACCAGCAAGGTATTCGAACAAGAGAGCATTTGCAACTAGTCTGCCTGTGGATAACCATTATGCCTCTATCTTGTATTTCTGTCACTCTGACCTCTATATGTTTCATAAGAAGAAATGCCCTGTTCCTTTCCCCCTCCACATTGCCTAGAAAATCACATGTCATTGCCATTTTATGGGATCGTTTGTAGTTTCATATTAACCTATGTAACTTGGCTTGAGGCAGGTATAGAATATCCATCATTAGGGGTATTTGATTAACTCTCTAGTAAAATGCATTCCATCTGTGATGATACATGCATGCAGGCATACATACATACATATGTGTGAAGCTACTCCGTGGAACAGTGGGTTCAAAGTGAGATTTGTATGTAATTTTTTTTTATTTGGAATACACAAACCAAAAAGTGTCTCTTACACTAATGCATAGGAAACAAAATTCAAAAAACAACTAACCGTTTGTTGTTGATCTCTAAAATTAGAAAGTTGGTGCTTAGACTGGGATCACAACATGGACTTGTAATTCTTCCAATAAAGTTTTGGTCTGATTGGTGGCGGCGGTGATGCAACCTTTCATTGCTTTTTGATTACGGGTTTGTGTGGTCTGCCCCCAGAGGTCCCGGAGTTTTTTGGAGTTGGGATTGGAGTTTTGGAGAGGTGGCTCAGCATACATTTTGTTAACCTATAGGAAACTATGTTATATAGTTTACTGTCCACCTGGTTTAAAGCTTAGCTTTCGTCAGGATTATTCCTGATAGACTGCTTTTCGTCTGATTTCCTGAACTCGCCCATTGCAACATCCCATCCCATTCCATTCCAGTACATATGTGATGCTTGACAATATTTGATGAATGTGTTTAAAATTTGGAGGACAGCCAATCCCTCCCCCTTTCCATGAAATCCAACCCTCAGCAAAACGCAGCATTTGGCCAGGAATTTTGCTTCCCCTAGTTATAGAACTATTCCCCCCCCCCCCAAAAAATTGTACTGTGCCTGCATTCACATGATTTTGTTTTTGCTTCTTTTTCTTGTAATGTCTGAATTGACAAAATCTGGTTATCCTCCTGTCAAGGGTCACAAACCAGATCCATTAAAATGTGCTGATTTGTGAAAGCTTCCAATAATTCCTTTAATAAATATTTGTATGCATGTGGAATTGATATTTATGTTAAAACCTTTAAATATTTGGTAGTTTATTTGCTATGAGGCTAAATGGGGTATATTTTGAATTAGATTTTGCAATTTGAAATGGCCAATAGCAGGCTGGCTATTGGACCAGCCCACTACCTGCTGAATTTACATTTAGCTGCCGTCTGTGGAATCTTGCCACTGGCAGCTGTCATTCCCTGGCTGAACCTATTCAAGCACCATGTGCTTACAATACAATTCTTTTTTTAAAAAAAACATTCTAAAAAGTGGGAAAAAGTAATTTTCGGTTTCATTTCAATGTCACCCCAAACGCGCCTCCCACCAACGTTGTGACCACTGCATTTGTGTATTTCATTTTAAATTAAGAATTTGTATTTCATTTTAATCTGATTTAATCTAAAAAAACAAAAATAATCGGCCAACTAATCGATTGTGAAAACAATCATTATTTGCAGACCTACACAATGGCTTATGATTTGCTGCAGAACCCAGAACAGTCTTGGTTGGGGGGGGTGGGGGGTGCTTTTTCTTTTCAAGAGAAGGGTTAGCAACCATGTCACATTTGTATTGCTTTTTACATTCAAGTCTGTTCTGCACACATACTTCCTGTCCAAAATGTCTGGGTGCTTGATCTCTTGCAGGGCTCGATAACTTTGGCACTCCCCCTGTGCTTAAACTACAAATCTTATCTTGCCTCTAGGAAATCATGCCTGTGGCTGTCAGTCTTGCAATGCCGCATAGGACTTGTAGTTCCTTAACAGCTGGAGAGCAGAGGCTGCATACCACTTATCTATGTTCATGCCACCTTGAGAAAGAGGACGTGCATGTCTCTGAAACCTTGATGGGTTTTCTTGCTGAGGATGTGGCCTTCCGTAAACTTTGGTATCCGACTGCTGCTGTACTGACCATTTCTCTGCATAGGTTTTTTTCTATTGTCGGTTTTCCCATTGCGGAGATTTATCCTGGTGACCATATTACCAGCAGTGAAATCCAAAATTCTACAGTTAACAGGAGAGCAGAAGGTGAAGGGGAATTTTACAGTGGGATCACCTGTCCTTATGACAACTATTTAATGGGGATTTCCCTTTAATTTGCAGAGATTTGTACCTGACTTCCTGTTGTGTTTCGAGGACATAAAGTGGGGGAATATCTTCGTAATAGTGTTGTGTCCCATCGAACTCCTAACGGCAGTGGGTGTGGCAGTGCATGTGGATGGCACCGCAAATCAATCTATAGAAAAAAATCACTGGCACTCCAAAGTTCCAAATGTTTGGTTCCTTCCTCAGGCAAACAAAGTGACTTTGTTTTGCCTGAGGAAGGAACCAAATTGGGCTCCGAAAACATTGCTACACACTGTGAGACCACCTTAATTATGTCATTAAAGAAGATCTGAGTTTTGGAACTTCAGAGTGCCAGTGATTTCTTCATCTTTCTACCTCTCTAACAGGATACAGACAGCAACGTCTGTTCCTACTTATTTTTATATCTGTTATGTTCCTGTGACTGATCACTGTTACTAGTTGCTGTTACATGTAGCCCAAAAATATTAGAATTCTTTCTCTCAATGATGAAATTGTAAAATCGACCTACTTTGGTTTTAATTTTACTAACATTTTTTTTTGTCTCCTTGCCAGTCTGCTATTTTTAACTTCCAGAGCTTACTGACAGTGATTCTCCTGCTGATATGTACATGTGCTTATCTCAGAGCTATGGTACCCAATCTTCTGGACAAAAATAAAACTGGGTAAGTTACATTTAGATTTTTACTATTTAACAGTCACCTCAAGTGTTGAGATGGTGGAAGAGTCACTTTTCATATTGCCAGTCCCCATCCATCGTACCAAAATGTTACAGAGTACAGTCACTTCTTAATCCACTTCAAATCCAAACCATGTATTGACTGCTTGGGTAGGCTTTGCAGTGTGCACCTCTCCTGAGAAATGTCATCTATAGCAAATGTGCAATTTTTTTTTATATTCCTTTTTGGTCAAAATGAAAGTAACATATTTTTTTTTTAAATGTGGTTTCTATGTTTTTAGGTAAATAAGAAATATTGTCAAGAATCGGAGTATCCCCTAATTTATGAAATCCCTTTCTTGGAGCTGGTTTAGTAAACAGGTATAAACATGTAAATTTAATCAAAAAATTCATTTAATTGTAAAGAAACGGATATAAACCAAACAATACATACATTACAAGACATTAAAATCAATTAAAAAACTTCCCTTGAACAAACAGTAGTTAATAGTAACACGGAGGATCTATAAGCCAGCTGGTGTAGCAAAGACCTGATTGACACAGATACATGCACTGTATTTCATATACGGATACAGAGTATCCAAAGTTACTCACAGCTCATACGGTTTAGGGAGAGACAGTCCTGCTCGGATCCCTCAGTGCTAGATGGTTGAATAGTGCTTCACTTCGAAGAGTGTGTCCTGTAGCTGTGGTTTAGGATTCAGAGAGAGGGGTATATTGGTAGGGCTAAAACGATGTAAACGCCCTTCCCTTTCCCCTTGCTAGGGACTCTCACTGACCCGCGAACTTCGATTTAGATTGCAGAAAAAATATATGTGCGGCCGCACAATGAAACAGCAGACAGCAGCAACGGTAGAAGTGGGGGTCTCCACGGTGAGAGATTCCAGGTACTCTTGAAGATCCGCAGAAGTGCAGTTACCACAAACGGTCATCAGATCTGTTCAGTCAAACTCTGCTGGAGGGTTCCAGGTCAGCTGGGCTCGCACCAAATAGAACCGGCTGTGCTCAGTCTCCACACTTTTAAAACCAGCCGGGATATGCATCTACCAGGACTGGCGTGTGGGATGAGTAATTTCGAGTGTCCAGGGAAGTGGTAGACACACGTAACCCTGACGCGTTTCCTCCCACAAGGGGACTTCCTCAGAGGGGCGTGTGTTGTTAGCTCTTGCAAGGATGTATTAAATAGCTGGTTAATGAGGCTAATAGGCTGCCGGACATCACACAGTTACAACTATATTTTAACTAAAGTATAGTTGTACTTGTGACTGGATGTGGGTAAAGGGATCTAGGATTTCATTTTATTTGCTTACTTAAGGCTCCACAGGTGCCACTGTAGTATACCAAAATATGTGCAACATCATTAGTATTTTTTGAGAAATGATATGGCTCGCTGACTGTGTGATAAAGAAATATTGCACATGTGTATTTCTTATTTTCAGATAAGCGCTCCGCTTTTTTTCACATCTTTATGATTCTCTGTGGTAAAGAGCCTCTTGCTTTCAGCTATAATTATTGATCTCTGTAGTAAACAGAAAAGGATGAAGGAATTGCCAGCACTCACAGGATTCAAATGGATATTGTGAATACCCTGTTCGTTATTTATTGAACATGTGTCACATACGTCATACAAGCCAGCGTTTCGGGGCCACTCCGGCTCCCTTCCTCAGGGTGACATAGTGACCTCTGAGTACACACGGCGCCAACCGTGTCATCACTTTGAGCGCCAAATTTATAACCTCCATAGTTTTTAATGCCGTATGGCGTGCAGGTGATCCACAACAACACTCTCTGTAGTCTACAAGCACAAGTCAATGAGTAAGGGGAGGGACTCTTTAATAAGGAATCCCTTTTTAGATGGCTTTGTCCATGATTTCAAGGCAAAGTTCCCTAAACACTTTCTTTGAACAAGAAGACATTTGCATTACTCCTGATCCACTGTGCTCTCTTTGGCTAACCTAAAGAGCTCTGAGAAGTCTTTGTTTTACAAATAGTGTATGTGTATATACACTATATTGGCAAAAGTATTGGGACGCCTGCCTTAACATGCACTTGAACTCTAATGGTATCCCAGTCTTAGTCCGTAGGGTACAATATTGAGTTGGCCCACCCTTTGCTGCTATAACAGCTTCAGCTCTTCTGGGAAGGCTGTCCACAAGGTTTAGGAGTGTGTCTATGGGAATGTTTGACCATTCTTCCAGAAGCGCATTTGTGAGGTCAGGCACTGATGTTGGACGAGAAGGCCGGGCTCGCAATCTCCGCTCTAATTCATCCCAAAGGTGTTCTATCGGGTTGAGGTCAGGACTGTGTGCAGGCCAGTCAAGTTCCTCCATGTCTTTATGGACTTTGCTTTGTGCGCTGGAACAGGAAGGGGCCATCCCCAAACTGTTCCCACAAAGTTGGGAGCATGAAATTGTCCAAAAATGTCTTGGTATGCTTAATGTCTTGGTATGCCTTTAAGGGTTCCCTTCAGTGGAACCAAGGGGTCAAGTCCAACCCCCGGAAAACAACCCTACACCATAACCCCCCTCGATCATAGTTACATAGTTACATAGTATTTGAGGTTGAATAAAGACATTAGTCCATCAAGTCCAACCTATTAACTAGAAACTTTACACTTGGCACAATGCAGTCAGGCAAGTACTGCTCTCTTGGCAACCGCCAAACCCAGACACGTCCATCGGATTGCCAGATAAAGAAGCGTAATTCGTCACTCAAGAGAGCATGTCTCCACTTCTCTAGAGTCCAGTGGCGGCATTCATTACACCACTGCATCCAACGCTTTTTAATTTAATTTTTTTTTAATTCATTTTTTAGTAAATATTTTTTACTTTACTTTTCGGGGCTTTGGGGAAATAGTAGGGATCTAAACAGACCCCAGATATTTCCCTTTTAAAACAGAAAAAGAGATTGAGGACACAGTGTTCAATCTGTTTTTCTACAGCCCCCGTTATAAATGAACAGGAATCCTCTATACTGAGTGTTCCTGTTCATTCATACCATGAGAACAGAGTATGTTTACTATAACCACAATCCTGAATGAACAGGAGGTGATGTAGATCACTTCCCATTCATTCATAATTGAGGATATAGTCAACATGCTATGTGCTCAATTATTTACAAACACTCAGTGATCACTTCGCTGAGTGTTTTGTAATAGCTCTCCTTCCTGATACGCTGTCACAGGAGGCTGAGCGAGAGGAGCTCAGCCCCCTGTGACAGCACTGGAAGCTGTCTCTGCCCACACACTGCACTGCCGATCTGTGACAGGAGGCTGAGCGGTGCGGGGAGGAAAGATGCCGGCTGCTCACAGCACTCTCCTCCTGCAGCGCTCGGCCGCCTGTGACAATTTCTCTCCCCCTCGCTGGGACACACAGCAGCGCCCAGCTGGGAGCAGAGAAAGAATGGATGCACTGCTGCATTGGCCAGAAAATTGCACTTTCGGCATTATGCCAAAACTGCCATTTTTCGGGCGATATGTTTCGGCGACCGATATCTCGGTGCATCCCTAATATATATAGTGCTATAGTGCGTTTTTACATTTTCATGCCTATGTTTATTCCTTAGTAAAGCAGCAAACAGTATTTTATCACTGATTCAGCAAATTACTGCAGGAAACAATGTTTCGCCTCCTTAGTCTTGTTTCTCATGGCTGCTCAGACTCTACTTCTAGCTGAAACATAGCCTGCCACATGCCTTCTGTGTGTACCACTCTTAACGCCTTTAGTTATGCTTGCTGACACCTCTTGTCTTGGTACAACAGCCCTGGCCTGGACACCCACCCACGGATTTTCAGCTTTGGGTTGGCCTTTTCTCTCACAAGCAGAGCCAGACTTAGGATGTGCTATGGAACCTTATCTCAAAACTTTGGAGTTTCAGTAATCCTTAAAGCTGCCAGCTCTTTGCTGGGTGCTAACCAGGAAGACCTTTCCCTGCAGGGTACTGATCACCTCATCTAAAGGGTCAATTAGATCAAGACTGGAATGTGACTGATAACATCTGATGGACAACGTCTTGGGATGCAGGTTGTCATTTGACACTTGAATCTTATTCTTCCCGTTCTGCTAATAGAATACTAAAGCTTTTGCATCCTGACTTAAATCTTCTGTTAACGTAGGCTTTCTGGTTTGAATAAATAAGTAAAAGAATGGCTTAAAATATTTACCTTCCTGAAGAATATGCTGAAACCTCAAAAATTGGGGAAATGTTATACATGTGTCGCACATGGTTTTGCTTTACAATTCTAGATTTGTAATGTCCAATAAATGTTATTGCATATATTTAAAGGAGAACTATGGGGTCAGTGTTTTTCCCCATAGTTCTCCTTAGGGTAACGGGAGGACACAAACTAGCGTCCTCCCGTTACCCTAAGCTCAGTGTACCGCGAGCTACAGCGCGAGCGAACCCGGTATGTGTTCGCTCACCTCCCGATCTACTGAGCCGACCTGTGACAGTCTCATTGTCACAGGTCGGCTAGAACTATGAGGTGAGTGAAAAGCACTCACCTCATAGTTCTCCTTTAAATAACCCATATGCTTACATACCTCCTTTAAAATGTTGTCAGTATTGATGAGGTTGGGTTTAAAGCAAAGCAGATGGCAATGGGCATTTGTAAAGGTTTGAATATCCACTTTTCAAAGAAATACCAATTTTCTGGTTGTCATGCTGACTCTTACTTTAATAATTGAGCCTTTGACCAAAAACAAGTTTACTTTACTCCTGATTTGCAAACAGTGTCTCAAACTGTTTTAAATTAAGTAGTCAACATAGCCAGTCAACCAGCATTTACTTTAAACGAGAACTATGTTTTAACCTTTTTATCCCATAGTTCTCTTTAGGGTCACGGGAGGACATATACTAACGTCCAAAGCTTGATATAGCTCGCTATTTACGGAGAGTGCCTCAGCCGTGACGGATCCCGATTTTAATACTGTCGAGATCCACCCAGCTGGCTGATTGACAGCGGGCTCTGTCTATCTAGAGGCAGAGCAAGCTGTGCCCTCCCCCATCCGTTCCTCCACTCAGCGCTGGAGGATTGGAAAGGGGAGGGGGGAATACCTGCGGGGAGCAGTGACTGATCGTCACCGCTCTCTACAAGGAGATGATTAGGAAGTGAGCCAGCAACAGTGTTTTGTTTTTGCTCATTTCCCAATCAATAGAGCCGACGTGTGACCGTTTCAATGCCGCACATAGGCTCTTACTATGAGGATGAGTGTAAATCACTCACCCCATAGTTCTCCTTTTAAGTTGGTGTAATAGTGCAGCCTTGTCTCTTAAGGATAGATGTGTTCGTTTTCCGTTGTCTGTTCTTCACCTTTGTTCTATTTCTGTCAGAACAAAAGTGTTGGGCTGCAATGCCACAGTGGAGAATTGTCTCCTTCCTCAGCTCAGGGGTAATAACGGACAACCTGGCCTTCTACAGAAGGGTAAAACTGTTAGTTAACAAAGGTTTTATTTTTCATTCATGTATTGGACCCGCACCTTTTTATTACTTACATTTGTGTTTTTTTTTCTCTTGACTGGGCATGTACACTCTACTCTCCATTCAGTCCTATAGTACGTGTATACTCTAGAGTCATTTCAGAGTACAAGCTCTCTGTGGATTTGAATGGAGGTTGCAGAGAGATGTGTGGGCGCAGCCAAAAAGATTTTTATAAATGCCGCCTTGTTTAGAGAGAAGCAATCACAGGAAATAGAACCCTTGCATTGGAACCCTGTTCTGGTAAGTTTTGATGTATGTATGTTTTGATGTTTGGTGTATGTAAACATAATCTTATTAGGCTGTGCTGTCACTTTTGTAATCCGTAGTAGTGGGCATAATCGCCTGTTTTATTTATTTGACAAGTGTGCACATACTGGTGCTCAGGCATCAAGTGATTGCGGCAGCTCCTTTGCATCTATGTTAACATGGTCCTACCTGTAGTCCTCTTTTTTATCTCTGTATAGTGTATTGTCTAGCAATAGAGCACGGAAGGTTATGGGGTTTCTGCCCAGAGTCTGGCAGTTAACACAGACAGGGCTAAGTGGGAGTTGTATCTGTGCTGTGCTCTGGGTAATGGATTTGCTTTCATGCTTGGCAACTCTGTTTGAAAAGAAATCAAGGACCACTGGCAGGATCACCAGGTATTTAGCACCAGCAAATGAAATTTTAAAAAAATCAACAGACAAACCTATTTGAGTAACACAATACAGCAATTGATTTTTTTTTGGGGTGACATACACTTTGAAGTCTATTTTATAAAATATTTGCATGGCTATTCATCCAGCAACACTGCATGTGCATTCATTAGGTGCAAAATAATCACATGTTGTAAGAGTGGGGTAAAAATCAAAGGTTCTTAAGGCTATTTTCTCTTCTGTTTGAATGTTCTTCATATATTGTCTGCAGTAGTGAATGGGGCAAATACTGCAATATGGCCACTAGATGGAGTTGACGAGAAAAGAAAGTAAATACAGCTTAGTAACGAGATACAGTATGAAAAAGCTGGAGGCAATTGGCAAATAAATGTAAACATTGCTACTACAGGTATCCCTGTAGAAGCAATGGTTACATGTATTTGTTAATTCCCTCCTAGCAATAGAGGTTCGTTGTTTTCTATATATAACCGATGTCTCTGCTTTTTCCTTAAGTAATGTTTACATAAACCCCTCCTATTTTTGTTGCAGAGTACTTGGAATATTTTGGAAGTGCGCACGAATTGGTAAGTTACCTTTTTAATGTAGACAATCACAAGTGTAATATTACCAAATAATCCGTGCTCCTATTTCTCACAAACTAACCCTCAACCATAGCTGTGCAAAGAAGGTTATATAAACCTTTTATAGTAATATTCCACACAAAAAATGCTCAGTGCTAGCAATAAAGTTCTCTTGTTTTAGAATTTATATAAAGAGAAACTCTTTAAAATGTCTCTATAGCAGCCAAGATGGTCCAAACAATAATATATAAATATGTTCACAATGAAGAGTCCTCCTGTCTGCGTCCTCTGAGATAATTCCAAGGAACACTCACCAGATAAGGTGGACCAAAATAAATGGTCTAACAACGCTTAGATGTGGCTGATCTCTGTTGGTTTGTTCGTCCATCCATCCAAAGAATCCAACTCCTGCAAACTCTCTCCTCCTGTGTAATGGCTCATCCGTTTAAAAAAAAAAAAAGAGGTTTAAAAGAGAACTATGGGGTAAGTGTTTTCCCCCATAGTTATCTAAGGGTCACGGGAGCACATATACTTGCGTCCTCCCATGACCCAAAGCTCAGTATATAGCAAGCTAAAGCTTACGGTATACTGAGAACGCAGCAGCCAGGACGGATCCCGACAATGCTGTCGAGATCCACCCATCTGCGTCAATGACAGCTGGCTCAGCCTATCTAGAGGCAGAGCCATCTGTGCCCGCCCCCTCCCTCGTCTGTTCCTCCAGTCAGCGCTGGAGGATCGGAGCGGGAAGGGGGGAATCCCTGCGTGGAGCGATGACTGGCAGTCACCGCTCTCTGCAGGGAGATGATCGAGAAGTGAGCGAGCGACGGTATGCGTTCGTTGACTTCCCAATCTATAAAGCCGACATGTTTAATTGTCACAGTTTGGCTCAAACTATGAGGATGAGTGATTTTCACTCACCTCATAGTTCTCCTTTAAGGAACAACCATAGCGTAATCCAGTTTAAAATATAAATTTATTAAAAAGAATTAAAAACACTCACAAGAATAGCTGGATACAATTGAGATGAATCTCCATCCACAGATAAATTTTCCCAAAATTATAATGCAAGTCCATCCACCAACACGTTTCCTCATGTGACTTCCCCGCCCCGAGGACTATCTTGGCTGCTGTAGAAACATTTTAAAGCATTTTTTTAATATAAATTCTAAAATAAAAGAACTTTGTTGCTAGCGCTGAGCATTTTTTTGTATGGCAAATCACAAGTGTAAGAAAAAAAAAATCAAAACCTTCTTTTTGTTTCTTTAGCTGCAAGCTGTGTAGTATAAATAATACCTCTTCTAGTGCTTTAAGTGATATCAAAGTCAAAAGGATTTTAAGATATTTAAATGCTGATGAAATCACTTACACTGGATGCTGCTTGATGTTTAGAAGTTTTAGTTTCCTGCAGAATCAGCTGGTCCCCTCTGCACTGGTCCTGACTTCTTGTTATAGAGTGTCTCCTTTCTCAAAAAGTGCTATGCAGTCACCCTTGTGTGCTACTATGATGTATGCGTCTCCACAAACACACAGACAATCAAGCAACTTCCCTCCCCGTGACCCCCTCTCTTCCCGCCTCCCTTTTCCAACCTATTAGATGAACAGTTGCTGGAGTCTGCTCTGTCTCTTGTGATCTTGTACTGGACAGATGGATATAGATATATATCTATAGATGTATATCTATATCCATCTGTCCAGTGTATATGTGTATATATATATATTTTTAGGGCTGGTAATGATTAAAATTTTGGTGTTCGATTAATCAATTTTTGTTAAAATCGATTAATTTTGATTAATTATAACGCACATACAGATCCAACTACGTTGGCCTATACACATACAGCACCGCAATGAAGTAATAAAATGAACTAGGATCACACTAATCCGCACGTTATCTCACGTGCCCCACTCAATTTGGCCGCCGCTTGAGTGGAGCAACTCAGAATAATAACGTGCTGGATTAGTGTGATCCTAGTTCAATAATAAAATAACATACCAGAGTTGCTAGTGCCACTGTCTGGTCCACACATGGTCTGCATTCACCTTGAAGAATCTATTCTTTAACTGCTGTGTTTGATTGTTCTCAAACTTGCCCTAAGAGCATTTACTTCCTAGTTTCATCATTCCCCTACTGTCTCTGAAGTCCCGTAAAATTCCAGACACACTGAGCTTGGTGTACAGCCATACCTTAAGGTAGATATATTGCTGGCCTCATGCAGCATAAAATCAGCAGAGCAGAATGTGTGGTTTATATTAGCAGTTTGGCATTTAAGACGTGCTGAGTTGCAATCAGTAGCATGCATTGGTTGGGGTCTGGCTCTTTCTACTAGAAAATGATATAGCTCATATTTTGCACATGTCTAAGGGATGTTCATTATTCTGGACAGTTTCTTTTTCTTATGCAGCATCATCTCTGCTAATGCAGTTGTTAATATAAAACCTTTAGCATTTTAAATTATTAGAGCCAAATTTGTTTGAAAGTTGCCAAAGGACAACTAGGCACCCTATATACCCATGTTGAGTTTTTAAAAGAAATCGCAGAATGAATGATCTATGAATCATCCATGAATCTGAAGTGTATGTTCATAAATCTGAACATTCATCTTTACAATGTTTTGCTGCCAACTCAAATAAACCGCTGAATAAATAGCCTTTAATACAGTTTGGCTTCACACGATACCCACACTTGTCTAAATTCATCAGATGTTGTTTGGTTGTTCAGTAGACATTAGAGCAATGTATTGTAATGTTTACAGCTCTGATTGACATGCTGTCTTGGAAGTAACTGGAATTCGTACAGTCTATTTCAAGGTGACTTTTGCTGCCAAAAACATTGCAATCTTGGATTGATTCCACAATTTCGCTTACCTAGCTATTTCATATCATTTAAAATAAACTAATTTCTATCATTGTGTCATTATTAACTTAAATTATTAACTGAATGTATTACATTTTGCAACCTTTTTTGATGGGTAATTTTGTATATTTTCATAAGTCTGGAGTTTTTCTCTTTTTTTTTTTTGTATTATTTTTCCTCTCTTTACATATTTTACTGTAAAAAAAATGTTTTTTCCTAGGTGAACGGAAAAGTCCTTACGTTGCGATATGTTGTGTGGTGATGGCATTCAGTATCCTCTTCATGCAGTGACCTTCGAAGGATAGATGCTCATTTTTGTTGCAGAATATATTTTTCCCCTTCATTAATGTGTGCATAGAAAAACAGGACCAACCCGTCTTGCAGAGAAGATTCCCCAAATGTTGACAGTTGGAAGACGCCAAAGCAGACGTACTGTTTGTCAAATTGTTCAGATTTATTTTATTTTTTTTCTTTATTTTTTTTAAACCATTAAAACTCAGATTTTCTTGTGGAAAAAATACTTCTAAAGGCTCAATAAATTATTTCAAACCTTGTAATGAAGTTTTTATAGTTCAACTGCAGACTGAATTACCAAATAAAACTAATTTGATAATATGGTTTTCAGAATTTGTTTGTTTTGTATTATCGGTAAATTTTTTTCTGGAGGTACAGTAGTTACTGCTCCAAGCTCACTCCTGTGAAGGACTACAATCTTACATTTTTAGTTTAATAATTTGAATCGAAATTGTAGTCCATCACAGTGGCTACACAGGGACCATGGGGAACAAAAGTAGCCACCCTCCAGAAGGAAGGACAGTGCCAGCACCAATTCAGAGATGATTTGAGGATCTGCATTGATACACAAATAAGATACATTTTTGTTAATAGTGCTGGGCTGGACGGATCCCTGGAGCCAGGTAGCCAATGCTGCCTAAAAATTACAACCGGCTCATAATTTGAGGATATTCTCTAGTTATTGTCAGTGGAGTTGGCTCTTAAACAAAATCCTGCTGGCTCCAGGATTGCACAGACTTGCTCCTGAATTCCAATTACTTTGTCCACCCCTGAGTTAAGGTACTTGAATGCATTTTTAAGTTTTAACTCCTGAGTTTTAGTGTTACTTTAAGAATGATGGGAAAAGGGAAGACTATGTATAGGCTTGTATATAGGAATGTTACAAAGATAAAAAGATTTTTGAGGAAAGAAAACCTTTGTTTTATAATCGTACTATTGTCTAGTTCAGAAAAGGTATAAAATTAAATCTATATTGCACAACAATCACATCAGATAAGACAACTGAGGGATAATCTCATAAATGGGATGTCCAACAGGCTCATATAGGTGTATTGCTCAGATAGGCACAGACTTTAGGCCATATAGTGTATCTACAGGTTTCGTCTAGGCCAGACATGTCAAGCTCAGATGAGAACAGTAGGAAAAATTAAAAGGACTAAATCTTTAAGGGGGGCAGCTATGTCTACTAAGACCTGCATCTAGCTAATTCCAGAAAAGGATCTTTGCACTTCAGAATTTAACATTTTAATCCAGAGAAAGTAGCTATAAAATGTTTTCTGAAGCACTTGCTGCAGTATTGTGTACGAAAGTGTAACTTCTTGACAGGAGACCAGCTGGGGTGTCTTTATTATTCAAAAATATAGCTTAATCTGCTAATATTTTGCCTTCCCTGGTTCTTCCCCTCCCCAACACGCTAATGCAATTTTTTAAATAAAACCTTTCTGTTTCCGTTACATAGCTTTTTTTTAGACCAAGTGACATCATCACTGGATCTCAATGCAAATCAAGGCTAGTGGGGGGAGCCCACAGGGTGTTATAGCTTCCTGAAAAATCATAGCACCCTATGTTGGTACTCCTCTTGAGCCCTAAGCCCTTATGCAAGCAATGCACTGGCTGTTGAGAGGAGTTGTGCAAATATCAAAATTCCTGGATGGGTGAATGTCAGTCTGGAGTGGGCATCCGTATGCAGGCTTCATTGGTATCCAGACTACCCCAGGCAATACACACATATGATGCTGAGCCTCCAAGATTAAAAGGACTAAAATCCATAGAATGAAGGGGCAGCCTAGTAACAGTAAGGCTGGGGAGGAAAGGGCTAGCTATTCTCCAACAATGAAATAAGGTGGGCTCTATCTGACGTGCTCTTTCTAATGCATGCTCTCAGGAGCTGACTGTGTTGTGAAATCAGAGTAAGCGACTTTAATAAAGGAGAGGAGCCTGTACAACTCTGAAAGATTGAAGGTAAGCCTGGAGTTCTGCTTCAAACCACTAAGGAGTCGCAGAGAATGAGCGAGAGGACCATATCGCACACCAATTTGGCATGCCAGGTCGAGGCATACACTTATTTGTGGAGATCTAGGCCAGCAGATCAAATCATGATTGACAGCTGCACTAATGCAATGAGGAAGACAAGATCATTAAATAGCACGGTTTAATTACACTGTCATACGAGGGTGGTGGAAACAAGGTGGCCAAAAATCACTGCTCAACAGACCTTAATCACCTTTTGAGAGCTAAATCACATTTTCTCTTTTGGTCTTGAACCACGTTATTGTGCCACTTGCAACAGAAGGGCGCTAGGCACAAAAAAACAAAACAGCCAGGGGCCAGCCTATGTTGGTGATCCTCACTTGCTGACAAGCCTCCAGTTTTTTGCCTAGCATCAGGTGTAAGGGCCTACAAATCTCTTCTAGGATTCTTTTTTCTGCAATTTTGTTTGTGGATCTTCAAGCAAGAGAAGGGCTGGGAGACATGCTGGATACTGCCCAGGGAGAGGGTCCCTCCAGAGCATGGGGGCCTGCGGGGCAGCTGTGCTCCCGCGGGGGCCTTCATCTAGCAGCTCTGTCCGCAGTGCTCTGCAGGTGGGCGGACCACTACTCGACTGCAGGACTTGGGCCTGGATTCATTCAGACTGCATCTCTTCCGCCCACTTGCGGAGGGAGTGTTTTCTCTGCCTCATGGATGCATGACGGCTGCCACTCGTCGCTGCTCCTGGAGGGACTCATTAACTGCGTTAAAGGGGCCATGAGTATTCTGGTGTCTGCTGCGTTCTCGGTCAGTGTCAGGTGGCGCACGTGCCTGAGAGGATGGTGGTTACCGTGGAACGCAGAGTAAAGGTCCCAGCGGTTCTACAAGCATCCCTTTTTGAGACCATTAGGGAAATTCCATCATTGACTTTATCACACAAGGTGGTGTTTTTGGTGGCCATTGCCTCTATGTGGGACAAGGTTGTGCCTCAGCCCAGGTCGTCCTTTCTGCCTAAGGTGGTGTCAGCCTTCTGCCGATGCGAGTTTTGGGTGCAGGGTTTTGCAGGCGTCCCTGTAGATGGTTGTGTTTGGGGGGGATCGTTTCTTTTGCCCACCCCTCATTTTGTACTGCTTTGTGATGTTCCCGTGGTTCAAGATCTTTTGATCTCCACACTGCGTCCTGCAATGACCGCAGAGGGATTTTAGAAGGTGCATAAATCCTTTTTTAAAATTGATTCATAAAGCGAGCTATGAAGTTTTAAAATGCTATCAGAACTTTCGTTTCTTACGGTAGCCCCACAGTTAACTCATATTGTAGTACACAGTATCCCTAATTTTCTTTTAAAATGAAAACTCATTCCATCTTATCCTTTGTAGCACTAAAGCTGCATCTAATTTGTTTAACCTGAGACAATAGTACATATTCTGAGTAAGCTTTAATGGCAATGTTTTGACTACAGCACTCATACACAAATGGAGTTGGCTTGCCTTCTATTAGGCTTTTGTGTGACTTCTGTTAAGAACTGCAGCATGGATCCAGGTTCTCCTGGAGTCTAACAACCATCCATTGGCTGAAGACCAACATGCTGTATTTCTTCACAATCTAGATTTCTGTATAGACGTGTTTCTTTCCAGCAACCTGGTGACATGTTACAATATAAAATATGATTTGTGGTTAAGCATGCTTCCATTTAAATAAAAATTAAATAAAATTCTTGAGTATAAACTCAGCGAGTTTCCCCTTCAGCCAATGCTAGATTATCTTGCTTGTTTCATTTGTCTTATGGGTTATTGGTTAGACGTGAAATGTGGTGGAGGCGAATAAAGGCTTCTTTGTCTGGCAACACAGTTCCTTTGGGATATAGAGGCATTATCCCAAACTGTCCATATAACCTAAACTGCTTACTTGGAGAAAAATGACCAACTATATTTTACTGTTATAAAATGTATTAATTTGTGGAATGTTTTTTAAGCAGTAATATATTTTTAAAAATAAACAATAAAGGTGATCAGCGCCAGTAGGTGTAATGTGGAAATAAGAGCTACCAAGCACTAAGGATATATCTAAATATCTGAAAAATGTGAAAAACTATATTGTGCCGGGCTAGATAGATATGTATGATAATTAGCTCGGCACAATATTGTTTTTCACAGTAATATATTTTTGCTGTGGAATACTTCAAACCTTTTGTGGAGCAAAGTAAAAACAGTGAAGCGCCACGGACTGTCAGTTCTTAATAGGACTTGCTTTTGTGGAGCAGTTTCTATCATACATTATTTGGGATTAAGTTTAGAGGTGTGGTGAGGTTAAGTGTGAGAAAGATTAAGGTTTTTTTTAGAGGTTAAACTTTAATTTTAGGCAAGTGGGAGATAAAGAGACAATGTCAATAGGATACATGTATCCTAACAACATTGTCTCTTTAAAATACATCTACCATGCTTACTATTACCACTTTTTTTTTTTTAAGCATATAGATCTTTATAAAATTTTCCATAACCAATAATGTTCCAGTGTACATACATGAAATAGCATCTACATACATGGTGTAATGCATGAAGGAGCAGTTATCAATAGTTATTACAGAGACCTTCGATAGTATAGAGCCAAGGATGACAATAACCCCTGAAATCAAGCATGGATAAAATATGTCATATAATGCAGTAATAACTCCTGGAGGAAACTGGAACCAATATAAGACAGAGGAAGAGGGAAAAGTGAAGAAAAGAGGAAAAGGTAGGTGCATGGGAGAGTATGTAAGGATAAAGAAGAAAGAAAAGAGGGGGTGTGATCGTAAGCATAATCCCAAGGGGATGTGGGTGGCCGGATGCGGTGTGGTTTGAAGGGGACATAGCGAGTCGTCAAAAGGCAGAATGTGGAATGTCAAAGGTCAAATGTAGGCACATACCTCAATTTGTACTGCAAGAGCGGTCAATCACGACTGGAGGTGTCCTGTATGTGTACATCAGTACCTTCGGGTGAGATGTCAGGTCTCATAGAACATCAAGAGGCCCAAGGGAGCCATCTAACTTGGCACCACCTCTGTTGAATTAAATTTTCACTGTCTTCCAGTGCTAAAAGCACTGATAGAA